TGACTTTATTTCAAGACTGATAAGATGTGCTAATTGAAAAATATGAGCTATCTAACATATGACCTTACAGAAACACATTTAAGTCATTCCAGCTATTCTTGGATGTTGGAATGACCTATCTCCCATCACCTATAAGTCACCTATTGYTTATCATCTTTGGCTTGGACAACCTTCTCAAAAATCAACCTCTGAATTACAATTTTTGGGTTTTCACCTAGTTTAATTGGAGCATATTTACTCAATTATTACTACATTGCAACAGGTGGATCTTGATGAACCTGGGTCCCATTGGTGAGAGGCAGCACATTAGCAGCGCATGCAACCTATGCTTCCCACTGACGGGAAACAGCCTGGCCAAACCACCAGTGTAGTAGTTTCAGTTTGTACTGGACCACTTTGCTTTTGATGCATTGATCTTTTTAGCTTAATTAGGCTAGACTATTTCTATGGATTCAAAAGCATTTGATTAGATAAAACTAAAGCATAGTTTAGTAGGGATTTTGCAATGTTATTAAGCTTAATATAATATACGTGTATAATGTAAGAAATATAAAATTATTGTTAAGCATTCCACTTTGACACCAAAACTATATAAACCTATGAAGCACACCAGAAAAGTAAACTTTTAACATCCCTAGAAAAAAAAAATAGAAGCTGGGTTGTCGATAAGAGGTTATAAAGAAAAGGAATATGAATTAACAAAGGGTTSTAACTCTGCAGGGACAGCGTTTAACAGCAAGGAGGCCAAACAAGATGTTGGTGAAATTCATCAGAATCTTAACAGTATACATTCTCATGTTGTGCGTGAGGTAGTTATTTATTTTTTTTTTACAACTTAATTTTACAATGTTAATTAAAATACAGGGATTGTTTGTGCTGGAATTCTAACCTCAATCTGGGTCCAGGTCCTGCATTTTTTTTGGTCTAATTTGGGTTCCAAGCATTTGTTATTCCAATTCAAACATCATTAGTAGTATTAATAGTGAGTCCTAGGACATGTTGCAACTTACAAAGTGCATTTTCCGCACATGGTCAAAAAAAGAAAATGCCTACTAAAATTCTTTATTGTTTCCAATGATTGTAAAAATATAGATCTATATCATGAATTTTTTGGGGAAAGGAAAAAAACTGATTGTTAAGCTTAGTTGTACGTCTGAACATCATTATGAGCAGCAGGTTGAGTTGATGACTACTTTTTTCTGTCAGTAATCATTATTTCTTATTGTCTCTTTATAATAATAATAATTATTATTATTTTGTTAGGCTGATGTGCTTCAAGATCTTCAAAGTCAATTATCAATCAAGGCACATGAAATGGAAAGACTAAGAGCTGAAATAAGYCAATATGAGGTAAGCAAATGAAATCATAGTAATATCATTTCCATTTCTTCATAATATGAAAAAGTTTTGCTTTTCCTTGGCGGTTTTTCTGAGCAGGTGGACCTSCAAATACATCATAACTCAGAAGCTTTTATCTATCATGCAGAATGAAATAAAGTATCATATGATTACTTGTATCACAAAATCCTAAATATATATCTTATTAGAGAACTGAAAGAGAGGCATTACAAAGGGRTCATTTATCTGGGTATGGAACCTCAGTAACGCAGGCAGGAGATCCAAGGTATTGATATCCATTCTGAARTAYTYYCAAAATTTGTGCTTTTTTGATCCTTATACMATCCACAAATGAAAAGAAATTCCGCATATTTTGTTGACATTTAAACAACATTATGCACTGACTCTGYGAAATCAATTAACAGGATAAGATTAATTCTGATTTTTTTATTAATTTTAGGAGTGGGTTTAGCAGGACAGTTGCCATGCCAACTGTAGGATCTGGAACCAGTGACACAGATTCCATTATCAGGGAATATAAATYGAAGATAGAGGATTTAAACACAAGACTCAAAATGGTGAGCTTGTGCTATTTCTTGGTGGTTTTAGAACATGAAATGTATCAGCTGCTATCAAAATTGGTCTTATAATGCAGGCAGCTCTTTATGTGACATTTGTTTTGATTGGGGTTCCTGTGGTTAAAATCACTCGACTAACAGACCCTAAAAAATTCCAAATAAATTCAGAGATGCCTGTGAAAGGGTCTAGCAAAAATGTATTCAACCAATCAACCATTTTCAATAAAAAAAGAATTCTTACAAAAGCATCAGCCAGCAAAAGAACCAAAATAGATGCAAATTCCTAGTCATTTTTTTAAAGTTTTTGTTGCAAAAAGTACTGAATAATTTTAAATAATTTTAAATGCAGTCACTCTGAGTGATTTCATGTGTATATGCACAAATTCTCACTGTCTGATTGGCTAACTAGAGAAAAAATAAGTTGGGTGGGCATGGTTAGGTGCATGGTCCTGTAGTGGTTATTGTAATCACCATGATATTATTATGGCAGTAATGTATATGTGTAATTGATGGATTACCTTGTAGACAACAGAACTATGTGCTAAACAGGATTCATACTACAGAGATATAATAAAGGAATTGGAAGACAGACTGACAGAAACTGTAAATGGCAGAGATCACATCTTGACCCTCAGGTGAACTAAATACAGAAACTGCTTTAGCAAATTTAGATACCACATGATTAGATTTAATAATTTTCTTGATAGACTCCTTAATTTATACTTCAGAATAATCTGCAACGATCCAGCACTGTGTATACTTTTCTATTTATGTGAAAAATCTTACCATTGTGGGTTAACAATAATTTTGGTAATTTAAATGATTATATTTTAATTAATGATAATTATTATAATTAGCATTAAGAGGACACTGCCGGTAGTTTTTAACCCCCAACTGATTATGATTACAACATTATATCACACTCATGATTTTATTAATTTTTTAATGTAGAGATAAAGAGGCTGCCAACCAAATGAACTTGATRAGGCAGTTGGAAGCTGCTCTCAGAAAACAGCAACAACTCAGCTCTGAAAAAGAAGAGGTATTGTACACAGACTCWYCTCTKACTGATACYAATGTTGCTCTTGGGTRTCAATAGAATAGAAAAAGACAACCCTCAATCAGGGTTTTGTTTTTTTACACTTACGTGGAAGTCAATTACTCAGAGAATTTGTCAGTGATGTTAAGAATAATGGYCAGTCAATCAMYAGTCRTGTTGACTGGCCAARTTAKWTTTAACTAGCTCAGTTATACCTTATATCATTTTTGGCTCAGTGCTACTGGGCAAAACAATTGACAAGGACAAGTCAGTGTCAATTCTGGCAAGACACTGCACATTATTTTAAGCCCCGTTTTTAGTAAGACTAGCCATTTGAATTTCATAATATTCTAATACCTTTTTRATATCTTTGACAAAATAAAACTTAATTTCTTTGATTTTTAATTAGTCTTAATTTCATCTCAAGGTGATTGTCTCCTTGGAAGAAAAGCTTAAATATCTTGAAAGTTGTCATTCCCAAACCTTATCTATTATTGATAAGCTCAAACATATAGTCAGTGAAGAAGAAATCAAAAGAGGAAGACCTGGAATAATCCACAGTCAAGATACCAGGAACAAAGAGATAACATCTTTCACAGCAGACTTGATCGTCCAGACAGTACAAAAATGTTTACTKGAAGACAGAAATGAAAAACAGTCACTTAATACCAAGCTTGAAAAGGTAAAAGACAAACTGGAGCTCTGACTACATGTACATCTTTCATCTTGAACTAAAGTTCAGGGGTGGCGAAACCAGGGGGGGCAAAAAATATTGGTTCTTAGTCATTGTTTTATGGTGCATGCGTCTGCAATCAAACAAAACATTGTCATTATCATATAGCATTAAATATAATCTTCAGTGCCCCCCCCCCCAAAGATTTTTGCAGTGCCCCCCCCAAAAGATTTTTAGCTTCCACTGCCCCTGAAGTTAAAGCTTGTCGTCCTGCATTCTTAAATGTCATTGTTTTCTATGTAATAGCAACTGTGAGGCAGACAACATACAGTAAATAAGGTTATTTGTTYGTGTTTGTCATTGATGAGAATGCATGCTATAGTAGGAACTTTTTGCACCTTACACTGATTAACAAAAATTGGACTAAACATTTTTTAATATAGGTCCTAAAGAAAAGCGATTTAATAAGACAGATTGTGTGATTACTTGCAGGTTATCAGAGGTCATGAACAAGTTGAGAAGGAATTGACAGCAAAAAATGAGCAACTGAAACAGGAATATGAATCCAAGTAAGAAAAATAACTTCCTGTTTAGTTGTAAATCATCTTAAAACATTAAAACCGTCTTCTTCCATATTATGTATATATTAGGCTTTCCAGAAGGCTATGCAATACAGGCTAAAAGTGTTCTGCTCTATACAGCTGAAAAATCATATACATAAAACAGGCATTCACGAGTTGCATGTAAAAGGCATGGACATTTCTTGATATAGTAGGAAARAGTGCTCCTATGCTTTTGACTCTGGTTATCCTTTGCTTTGTGAAAASGAATAAAAATGTTGAGGAGCATTTGAATGAGGAAAAAAAGATATCAAGATTAACATGTTCTTTAGTATCACCATGCTGCAATAAAAGCTACAAATGTTGCTTTGTTGCTATGCTCATGTTGCTATAAGGGTTAACTATTATACTGATTTACAAAAGTRTGGTAAAGCAAAGACAGATATTCTATTTTATTTATAAATTTAAAACAGGCTAGAAGCCATCAACAGGGACCATACTCAAGCACTAGATAGTACTGAATCTAGATCTGCTCATATGAAAGAGGAACTAGATGATATGAGACAAAAATTGGATT